CTCTTTCTCTCTCTCTCTCTCTCTCTCTCTCACTCACTCACCCTCTTTCACTCACTCACTCACCCTCTTTCACTCACTCTCTCTCTCTCTCTCTCTCTCTCTCTCTCTCTCTCTCTCTCTCTCTCGCATTCATCTGTCCCATCCACATACTCATAAGTATAGACGTACATCATAACCTAGTTTGTTAACAGTCCTTTTTGTAAACGAAATCGACGGTGATTGGAGGGAGCCACTTGTTGATCTTACTTCAAATTTTCTTTCCCTATATAGTTTCTCTTTATCTATTTTACTTTTTTTTAAACTTTCTTATATCGATTTGAGTCCATTTAGTTGAGCAAACTAAGAAAGTAGGTGGTGTGCGGGTGCTTTGGTGTTGTTTGCTTCTTCTTTCCTATCAAACATCTATCGTCCTTATCTCCCGTTCTTTTTTTATGTTTGTTACTCCCTTGTAACACCTCTATAAATCTTCTGGCGCTCATAATATGACCTTATACAGTTGCGAGCGCCGTAAAACCTCTACTAAAAGAAACAAACTAAGAAAAGCGTCACACCCAGAAATACACAAAATTTCTCCCGTAAACATCATAATGACAATGTTACGTACCAGAGTCCATTGTGAAATCACTTGAGAAATGTAAACGATGATAATCTGTTTTTCACCCGCAGGAAATCCTAAAACGTGCCAAGAAAATATTTCACGACGCGGAAAAGGTAAGTTGTTTGGTTTGTTGTTGTGGTGTTGTTCTTTTGTTTTGTTTGTTGTTGGGTTTTTTGTTTGTTTGTTGGTTTGTTTGTTGTTGTTGTTGTTTTTGTTTGTGTTTTGGGGGGGTTTGATTAATCGTTTTTACATCAATTGTTTTCTATTGATTTAAGGCGAGGGGGTTTTTCAACACAGAAAGGGCTATCGAGCGGGATAAAGTCTAGATGTAACTGTCCATCACCTATAAGATGGGTCGGATACTGAAGGATCCAGAGTAAGGAATTACATAGCTCTTTTTTATGCCAGAGCCAGTCGACCGACTGCGCTAAGTAATAATAATCATCATATAACAATAATAATAATAGTAATAATAATTTGATTCATATAGTGTATCACTCTCTACCGCAAGGTATATGCCCTATACAACTATTTTTTTAATGTGCCTGCTTTTCGAAACGTTTGGGGGAGCGCGCTTTTAAAATTGCCAGATGAATCTCATTCTCTAAAGAAAAAAGAAGGGGGCGGGCGGGTCTCTAATGCATTTGTGCAATGCACATTTTTATTCAGTTTTTATAGGTATTACTGATTTCTCACTTGTCCTTAGACATTAAAAATGATCTCAAAAACGTTACTACGTCAGAAAGCCAAAGAAAAACTAGGGGAAAAGCAGTCAACGTTGCTAGAAAGCTCGCTACCTTAAAATTGCAATGCTGTATCTGACATTTTTGGCCGTTTTGAGCCATTAAGTCCATGATGACCTTGATGTCGGAAACCAAGTATTGATCTATCAGATCTATCAACATTGTATGATTATTCGGTGTGGTTATAAAAAATATTCAAAGAATTGCTGTCGAAAAAGCTTGACATGTTGTGAAACTCAACATTAATTTTTTACTTCAAATTTCTCAAGACTAGGTAGCCTACTGAGCAGAGAGAACTTTTTTTTTTTTATTCTAAGGTAGCGCTCGGTTGAGATGTGTGAAATAAATAGAGTGTGTCTCTGATTGTGGTCTTCCTCTCCGTCTGATTCCTCAGAATGTTCCAAGCTACGGCTCGGAGCACAAGAGCATCCTGCATCATGACATGAGATGGTTTATGTTGCCTGAGGAAGCTGCTGGCGTGATTTCTGGCGACCCGGTACGTGTGTATTATTGTGTATGTGAGAGAGTGTTTGTGTGTGTGTGTTTGTATGTGTGTGTATTTGTGTGTGTGTGTGTG